AGTCTTTTATTGTAAGTTTTTTTAAGAAACATAATAAATCTGAAATTAAATGCTAAAAACTAAGAAAATGACACCAATAAACTCGAACATGGGTCTAGGGTGAAAGAAAAGCGTTGCAAACTAACTCTACTAAGAGACATTTGTGTTTTCATTGTTGTTTCAAAATATATATATGATAACACATAACAAGTTGAAATGGTGCACTTTTCACGACCCTGTAATTTTTTACACTACGATGGAGGAATGAATCGGTGACCTGTGCGACTGTATGCACTACACTGGGCCCGTCCCTGTTGGGGATGGCCGAAGGAAACCCAACGACGGTACGCATGCATGGTAGGGCAGTTGCGCACAGTGGCGGATCCAAAAAATTTAGTGACCAGGGATGGGATTTCAATCATGGTCAAATGCCCACATGGTTAATAATGTTCTCTAATCAAATATCTTCACCTTATTTATCTATTTGCCTAAAATGATACTCTAAAAGAAAAATCATTTAAAACAAATTTTCTAGGCATCGAGTGATTAGAGTTAGGTTGGATAATATTACAAGAAATGTTACCGCACTTACAAGTTCCGGACGTTGGTCATTTTTTCCCAAATCTTTTTTCCAATTTTCTAGGTAAATAAAAACAATCAACAAATAACAATGAGGTATCAACGAACAAACTCTAAAAATGAACAATTAACAAAAAGAACTAACAATCACTCATCAATTGATGAACTCTAACCGTAGATTTAACAATTAACAAAAAATTAACAATTAGGCATCAATTAACTTCACCCCTAACAGTTAATAAAATAAATTACATCAACTAATAAACTCTAACAATTAGTAAAAAGTTTAGCTATTAAATATCAACTAACAAACTCTAACCCTAACCTTGACAATTAATAGAAATTAACTAGAAGACATAAACTAAAAAACTATAAACATATGCGTGATGAGACCTTGTGATGTGTGAACGACGTGTTCTACGACTTAGGCCGCGTCAAAGATTGTTTGTGTCTGTGATTTAGCATCAAATGTGATGGTCTTGATGAATTATATTATCATATCAATAACAATCTTATCACATGTGATAATACTTGTGAGGGGGCTTAGTGGTGTAAGGGTGACTTGGSCCGCAACCAAGATCGCATCGAAAATCGTCTGCGTCTCTGATTTAGTATCACATGTGTATCATATATGGTGAAATAATAGTATCACATATGATTGTCTATAGTAAAAGAGTGTTCTCGCGTTCTCGTAAAATAAAGGTGTTCTCGTTTGAACCTTTCCATATATATATATATATATATATAGAGGTTGGTTCAAATAGAAACCAACCATATGGTACAAACTATGGAAACCGATCTTGATCAATCACATTCTTTCTTCACTTTAGATTCAAATCTAAATTATAAATTAATGATAAGAGTAATTTGGTAATTCAACCTTTTTGTAACCCCCAATAATTAATTGGGAGTTACAAATCTTAAAAGATACATCTAATTGTTCATGAGATTTTTATAATTTCTTTATTATTTCATGTTCATGGTATTCATTTCAATTGATTTTATACATATATTGAAATTGGTTGTCTAAGTGTACAAGATTTTCGTTTCGTTCAAGATACATGGAGAATCCTATTGTTCATATATGTTCACCATATGAACAACTTGTTTTCATTGAAAGACACAATCGTTGTTCACACGAACC